ACTCACCTCGGCCTCCCAAAGGCGCGGGATTACAGGCTGAGCCACTGAGCCCGGCTTATTGTAGGTTCGAGATCTCGCCAAGTTGCCCAGGCTGGTCTCGAACCCGTGGGCTCAGGCAATCTTCTTGCCTCCTCCTCCCAAAGTACTGGGATTACAGGCATGAGCCACTACATCCGGTCTTATTATATTTATTTATTTGTTTAATTTTGAGTCAGAGTCTCACTCTGTTGCCCGGGCTGGCTTTCTGGCTTTTAAAATATTAGCTTACGTAGCCCAGGTTCGGTGGCTCAGCCTGGAATCCCAGCACTTTGGGAGGCCGAGGTGAGAGGATTGCTTGAGCCCAGGCGTTGGATGCCAGCCTAGGCAACATAGCGAGACCTTGTCTCTACAAAAAAATTTTAAAAAATAGTCAGGTATCCTGGTGCAATCATAATCCCAGCTATTTGGGAAGCTGAGATGGAAGATTTGCCTGAACCCAGAAGTTCGAGGATGTGGTGAACTGGGATTGTGCTGCTGTACTCCAGCCTGGGCAACGAGTGAGACCCCAACTCAAACAGCTAAGCAGAGTGCTTGACCCATAGTAGGCTCTTGGCAAGTGATACACCCACTTGCCTGTGAGTTTGATGTGTATACAGATGTCCTTAAACTTTTCTTTTTTCTTTTTTTTTTTTTTTTTGAGTTGGAGTCTCACTCTGTCGCCCAGGCTGGAGTGCAGTGGCACGTTCCCAGCCACCGCAGCCTTGACCTGCTGGACTCCTACAATACTTCCGCCTCAGCCTTCCAAGTAGCCAGAACTACAGGCATGCACTATCACGCCCAGTTAATTTTTTATTTATTATAGAGATGAGGTCTTGCCAAATTGCCCGGGTGGGTGTTGACCCCGCAGGCTCAGGCTTAAACTTTTTTAAAAAACTGCTTCATGCCGGGCTCGGTGGCTCAGCCTGCAATCCCGTGCCTTTGGGAGGCTGAGGTGAGTGGATTGCCTGAGCCCGCGGGTTCTAGGCCCACCTGGGCAGGGAGACCTCATCTCTACAATAAATTAAAAAAATCAGCCAGGTGTGGTAGCACATGCCTGTAATTCCAGCTACTGGGAAGCCTGAGGTGGAAGGATTGCCGGAGCCCAGCAGGTCGAGGCTGCGGTGGCCAGGAGCGGCCACTGCACTCCAGTCTGGGCGACAGAGTGAGTCTCTGACTAAAAAAAAAACAACTTCATATCCCATTGTTAGGATGTTCCATGATTTGTTTAAGAATTTCCTTATTGTAAGGTATTTAGGTTGCCTCCAGATGGAGGCTTTTTTCCTTGGCCAATTATCATAGTGATAATTTTCATAATTAAGAACTCCCTAAATCACCCCCATCATTAGGAGCTGAAACAAATTAGGTTTTTGAACTGCAGCTTAGTGATGGCTGAGGCTGGTGCAGAAAATGGGCACACTGACACACTGCTGTATTGTGCATAATTGCTGGGTTCAAGTGGAATGCAGTAGGCGTTTCTGGACAGTGACTCAATGTACCCATGCCGCCGGGCAGGAAGGTTCTCCTCTCCTTTGTCCTCCTGTGTTTCACACCCTGCTTCAAATCCTCTTGGATATTGGGCATCTGCAGTCCCAGTTCTGCCCTCAGGGAGTTCCTCCAGTGGGGGAGAGGGACGCTGAAACCAGTAAGTGCAAGTTGTATTTGTGGCCCGTGTGGCGAAGATGCACAAGAGGGTTGTATCAGCCCTCTCTGGTGCGGGTGTGAGTCAGAGGGCCCAGGAGAGGGCCTGCTGTCAGTGGGCCTGGAAGGTCGATATGTTTGCTTTGGGGCTTATATGGAGAGAGGATCAATGGCTGGGAGGTAAGAAATAGCTCAGAATGTTCTGGAACTTGCTAGAATTGGCTGTGACTGGACATAAGGCACCAAACATGGAAGGCTTGGTATGAGTGGGGACAGTAGCTCGTCATGGAGGGGTTTGTGTGCCATGTCATGCTCCTCTGGGGTCTCCAGTGCCCCGACAGGGCCAGAGCCATGGTGAGCCCTGTATCTGTGGAGGTTGCATGCCTTTATGGAATGCTTTAAGCTGAAGTTCTTGACCGTGTGTCTTAGGCTGTTTCGCAGAGTTCTGTGAGTCGGTTCGTCTGGGGCTGTGTGGACATGCTGGGACATACCCGTGTGCTGATGATAGGGGAGGCCCTGGCTGTCGGAGAGAAGGGTGGCACCTCAGGAATAACTGGCTCAGAAACCAGTCCTCTGATTTGCACCGCAGTGCAGTTACAGAAACTTCTCATTGCAGACACTGAGATAAGCCTGCCCACCAGCCCTGGGGCACCCCAGGCCTGGTCCTTCGGGGCGCAGTGTGAGCTGTTGCTGGAGGAACTGGCAGCTCAGTGGTAGGCCTGACCCCGCAGGTGTGTCTGGAGTGGCCACAGGCCTGACTCGCACGTCCTCAGGCTGCGTCCTCAGCACCGCCCTTGCCCCTGGTCCTCACCCAGACTGAAGGGGCGGGACTGTGCTGGGGAGAAGGGGGCGGGTAAGGCAGGGAGGGCGAGGTTTGTTGGTGCTCTTGGGGCACTTTGTCCATTCCCGTCCGTCTTAATCCCCGTAAAGGCACTTAGGGTAGACGTTGATGTCTTCGTTTCCCCAAAGAAAGCAAGCTTGGAGAGCTTAGATGCTTTTATCAAGACGATACAGTGAGTGCACAGCAGGGTGATGCCAGAGCCCACACCCCTTCCTCTCGAGAAACTGTTCCTCCAGATCTGTCACCTGTCCAGCAGTACCGGGGTGGTCTGGCCCTTGTCCTCACAGCCTTGATGGTGTCTTGGTCTGAGGGACAGCAGCAGAAGCCCCGAGCCCCACTTTGTCACTGGCTGCATGAGGGCGAGCAAGTCACTGCAATTCCTCGAGCCTCAGCTTCCGCATCTGCAGATCTGGGGGTACCATATGGCGTGTGTACTCAACGGGCTTGTTGTGCGAATCCACAGACTGAGTGGGGATGCTGTGAGGCCAGATCCTGCACTGGCGTTGTGTAGCCGCTGAGGGCGGGTCGTGCTTGGGACATGGGTCCTTCCCTTGCTCCTTTTCTCCCTCCCCTTTTGGTAAGTGGAGCCCACGGTAGAGTTCAGGCTGAGCCTGCCTCCTTTGTTTGGAAATTGGTGTCTCACTCTCGCCCAGGAAGGCTTGAGTGCAGTGGCATGCTCATGGTCACTGCAGCCTCGCCCTGCTGGGCTCAGGCGATCCTTCTGCTTCAGCCTTTCAAGTAGCTGGGACTACAGTTGTGCGCTACAGTTTTTTGATGTATTGTATAGACGAGGTCTCACCAAGTTGCCCAGGCTGGTCTCAAACCCCTGGGCTCAGGCAGTCCTTTTGCCTCGGCCTCCCAAAATGCTGGGATGACAGGCTTGAGCCACCGTGCCTGGCCTGAGCCTCCTTCTAAAATGGGCCTCAGAGCCACAGTGATCTGGGTTTGGTCGCTGTGCTGCCACTTCGTAGTATATGGGTGACCTTGAGTAAGTCCCTTGGTCTCTTTGTGCCTTGGTTTCCTGTTCATGATGTAGAAGTGTCACCTTGTCAATGTGTTAGGCTTAACAGAGATGAGTACATTTGAGTTTGTCGCCAAATTTTGGACCCTGGGGTCGCACTCCAAGAGCTGGTACACTGAAGGACTGCCCTGATGTGGTGGATTTGCAGACCCCTGCTCATTCAGACAGCTGCGCAGAGTGGAATTGTCCACATTCGCTCAGCTGTGTTCGAAGTGGCTGCATAGCTCACTCACCACATGTCACGTCCTCTGCTGGCTTCTGGCAGATCAGCTGTGAATGAGGCAGGCTCGAGGGTTGCTGCCATCTGGCGGGGGAAGGACGTGGACCATCTCCATCCTCGCAGTGTATGTGGCCAGCGCACGGCGGGGTGGTCGGTGCTGTGAAGAGAGCAGAGGGCTGCAAGCAGGGGTGCTGGGTGGCCGGAACGAGCCTTCCTGAATGACCCAGGCAGAGTCTGATGGATGTGGAGCGTCTCCAAGGGCAGAGGGTGGCTGGAGGGATTGGGAAAGGGAGGTCTCAGGAGGTAGGGGCGCTCTGGATGCGGGGATGAGCTCTCTGGAGCTGGTGCCTGGTCAGCAGGGCCCACGCTCAGAGTGGACGCAGAGAGGCCTGGTGAGGCTGGAGAGGGCGTTTCAGTGCTTGTCTAGGACTTCCTGGGTGGTCCGTGATGTGCCAGGGTGCCCTGGAGACACGGGGGAGCCAGGACTTGTGCTTCAGGTCCCAGCCCTGCTCTGCCCCCTGGGCGTCCCTAGCTTCCTGAGACAGTGTTTTCTCCTCTGTAGCCCAGTGGGTGTTAATGCTGTGTATGCATCTCACAAACAAACCTGCTTTGGAAACTGTGGCGTCCTTCCCCGGGTATGAGGGGCCGATGTGGCCTTACACCACCAGGATTCGGGATGACTAAAAGATACATACAACATAAAAGGATAAAAACCTAAGTAGCTGGGTCAGAGGGAAACACCGGTAACAGGGTGGAAGCTGGGCTAATGATTAGCACCCAAACTTTGCTGCATCTTTCTGAACATTCGCAGAGGTAGGTAGGCTGCAGGATTCACTTTAAATTCTTTCCGGCTGCCAGAGCAAAGAGGCAGGATCAGGCACTTGATTCACGATGCCCTTTGGGGATTAGGAGGGAAAAAGAGACTGGGTTTTTTTTCCCTGCACTGAAGCTGTCTCTGGCAGGGCTACTGACGAGCATTGGTAACTGCTCGCATCTGTCCTATTTGCAGGTCTGTCGGAGGCACTGGGCAATGACCCCGAGACGCCAGGCCAGAGTGGTCTGAAGCCATTCAGGAAATCAGGAGGAGTCCTGGGGAAGATGGCCATGGCCCCAGGCCCTTCACTGGCACAGGTGTATGCTAGCCCCGGGGTTGTGGCCGTGTGGGAATGGCAGGATGGGCTGGGCACCTGGCACCCCTACAGCGCTGCCGTCTGCACCTACATCGAGCAGCAGTTTGTCCAGCAGAAGGGCCAGCGCTTCGGGCTCGGGAGTCTGGCCCACAGCATCCCCCTGGGCCAGGCTGACCCCTCGCTGGCCCCGTATATCATCGACCTCCCCAGCTGGACCCAGTTCCGCCAGGACACTGGTAAGACACTTT